ACTTTTCAAAAATCTGAAATCATTGGAAAAAATGTCAGTACAACTATTTATTTGAAAAATAATCAAAGGTAAATAATTGTAATCGAATAAATAAATTAAAATTAAAATTATAATTTATAATTTTCTCTAAAAAGACAACCGAAAATTAATTTCGGCCTGACTCACTTACATGTCCCCAGTGGAGTCGCCAAGATGTCGCGATCGTCTTTTCGGTTGGACCATGAAATTGGGCTTCAACTTGAATTAAATGTTTTAGAGTCGCCACCGACCATTTTAAAATGAATTTAGGTGGGTCAGACACCATCTTACCTGATCTGCATTTCACCAGAAATATGTCGGGCTCGGGAGTCGGTTACGGTCAAGGAAGGATTAACACCATTGAACCGCCCTTTCAGTACAAATTAATTTATCGGTTGTGTTTAGTAGCGAAAATTAAAAATTTAAATTGAAATTTAAAACATCGATTCGAATAATTACCCTTGATCGATTAAAAAATTCCCCTCAAAAGTAAAAAATGTTAGATAAGAGATATTAAATAAATATTAATTAAACCACAGAAAAAACAAAAAAACAAAATAAAATTTAAAAAGTAATAAAATAAATGAAATAATATATATAAAAAAAACCATAATAGATGAAGGACCATGTACTGAATTTACCCAAAGTTAAACCCACTTGGGGATTTGTTTGACTTTCACGCTCATAAGCCAAATAATTGGCTTTTCCATTCATTTTACACGTGTTAAAAGGTCCCTTGACTGATCAACCTCGAAAATATCTTCCCCAAAATGGAAAGACCGGTTTTATAGCACTTTGACAGCAAACAAAGCAAAAGAAACTCCGGGTGTAACGCGGTCAGATATTTGGAAGAGGATTGAAGCTTCCGAATAGCGGTCAGTATTGGAGCCACTCCACGCAAGGGCTCCTCAAGCAAAAGAACTTGGTCTTTGAACCTCTTACAGACATATATAAACTTATCGGGTGCCAATCGAATTTGGTCGGCAACACATGAACTGATAAATCTAGCAATCATTAACACATATGAACTAGCAAGCTCGTTTGTAACTGGACCAACAATACAAGCTTCCAAAAAAAAAAATAGAGGTAACCCAGAGAGTGCTTGGCAGAGTCAAGTTGGTTGAGAAAAGGCAACAATCGAGTTGGCTCGGCATGGAGTAAGTCGTCAGCTTGTTTAAGCAAATTTTGCAGCGATAAAACATCCGAGTCGGTGCCTGATAGCCCATGGATTTGAGTCAGTAGACCCCCTCCAAAAATCTGTCAGTGACTGACTGGTTTTTTTACATGAATTTGCGACAATGGATCTCTGTCCTCCAGTTTCCGTTTCTTCCCCTTTCGTTCCTCCTGGCGCTGAATATCCATATCAAAATAAGGAATAATAGAAAAGAAATACTTGAGAAACTGAGAGCCAACCCCCCAGTGTCCCCTTTAAATTAAAAAAAAATGCTAAAAAAGTGGACTTCAAAGGGAGATGGGGTGTGGGGTGTGGGGTGTGGGGTGGTGGGTAGTGATTTAGTGGGTATGTGATTTTTAAGTGATGGGTATTTAAAATGGTTAAGATAATGGTGGGTAGTGGGCCTGCAAAAATAAAATTACATTATTAATAATATAATAATAATAATTAAAAATAATAATAAATTATTATAATATATATATATATATATATATATATATATATATTTAAGCCCGGTCAAAAACGGGTGTCTACAATATACAAGTAATATTTTAAGTTAAAATCAACTATAATATAACCATAACATCCTCAATCATAATTATCATTAATTAAATTTTTTAAGTCAAAAATAATAAAATTTTAGATTAAAACTCATTATAAATTAGTTTTTGATTAATTTGCGGCATAATAAAACTAATATTGAAGTTGTACTTTTTAATTTAGGGTTTTAAGTTAGAAATAGAATATAGAATAATGTAATTAAATAATTTTGAAGATTAAATTGATGTAAAATTACGATATAAATAAAAATGATAAATTAAGTCTACCACATGAGAAAAACAACCCTTTAAGTCATTTTAAATAGATTTTGCACTTATTGAAAAGCAATATGTATAATGTTTTAATCTTATAAAAATTATAAAACAATATATTAAATATTTTAATAGAATATCATTAAAAAATTATAATTTTTTTGATAACTATGGTCCGTTTATAAAATTTTGATAAAGTATATAAATCATAATAGATATTATATATTTAATAAAACGTTGAGTACTTTAGTAAATATTAATAATTTTGGATTAATGATATGTTTTAATAAAAGAATATTTAATATTATTATTGGTTAAAAATATTGACTACTGTTGATCGATCATTGAATGATGTTAATCAAATATTGACCATTGTTAATCATATATTACAGTGTAATATTATAATTTTATTGGATATCAAATGTTTTAAATAGCTAATGGATACCCAAAATTTTAACATATACCAAACTTTTTAAGTATATACATTTGTAATTAATAACAAAATTTGATTTTATAAATTTAGGTATAACTTTAAAAACTTTGATAAAGTATTATTAATTTTTTTGTACGAAAAATTATGGATACCAATTTTTTTTGGACCATACTGATAACCAAGTTTTAAATGTTAGAAATTTAAGTGTAATTTTAAAATTTTAGTAAAATATTACAAATTTAATGTACAATTGAATTTATTATTAATTTTAAAATTTCTAACATTTTATCGACCTTTCTAGTATTGTACTGACTTTTATAATGCATGAAGAAAAGTCTTCCTTAGAAAGCTTTCCTTATAATTTTTCTTCCATCTGAAAAGCTTTTATAATAATCGTTTGTATAAATATTTGAATGTTTTATATTTATAAAAATAGACAATGTTAATTGAAACGGTTAGTTAATTAATTTTTAACATATTTTTTTATATAATATTTTATATGATAAATTATTGATGTGATATGTGTTATGTGATCTTTTTAAATAATATAATTTATATATTATTATTTTTAATGGCATAACATGTCAAGTCATTATTTTGAGTTATAATATCACATCATCATTTTAAATAATGTGATATATTCTTATCAAGAATTAATGACATGTGAAAATGTCAAGTTAATAACACGTGTTGATCGTTAGTTAATTAATGATTTTTGTCATATGTTTTAACTAAAAATTAAAATGTTTAGAGGTTAAATAATTAAAAAAGATAAGATGATTATTTATACAAATATTAAAGGGTAATTATGTCATTACGGATAAAAGCTACTACAATATGAACCGTAAGTTATGGGAAATACGAGCCGGCGGGTGACATGCTACACAAGCAGCATATCAATTATCACCTACTATAATATATCATATTTTACAGTAAAAAGACGTACAATATAAATGTTTATTTTATGACCAATTTTAATTAAAAATTATTTTATGACGAATAAGTATAATCATACTAAATGTAATATCGACAACTTTGTAATTATTAAACTCAAAAAATATATTATATATACATGAACTTAAGTGATTTTAGTGGTAAAAAAATTGTTAATATTTTTTGAGGTCTCGAGTTCAAGTACTATAAATACCAGAGTCTGAACGTTTAATATCAATTGATAGAGAAATATCATTAAACATATATTATCTTATATTTACCCTAAATTAATAAAAAAATATATCAAATTTTTTATCCTATTTAATTAATATTTGATAGATTATATACAACATGTTTTCGATAAGGATGGAATAACTGTTACTAATAGAATAATTTTTCCTAACGTGACATTTGTAATTGTAAGACCCTAATCTCAAATATAGAGCATCTGAAGATCATATGCTACTTCAAGTCATTAGAATAATTTAATAATTTTTTAATATTTTTATTATAAAAGAAGATCATCAAAATAATTATACTAAAATACTAATAAAAGTAGTTACATAAAAATATGTGGAATTCCAATGTAAGTGTACATCAAAATAATAAACAAATAACGGATTATAAAACACAAGTGAGACCTATAAATACAATATCCACTAGCAAATAAGGTATTATATTCTGAATTTGAGGTGTTGGAAGTCCCTCATTAATGATGCTCCTCAAACATGTAAAAAGATCTATAAATTTGGAAATTGAAACAAATGAACTTTCAACTCTTTAAACTCAGTGGTACATAACTAATATATTATATTTCGAACAATTCACAAATATGAGCATTGCAAACTAAGTATACACAGAAAATATGACATGAGTACCAACCATTCTAATCATGAGTCATTATATTCAACATGTTCAAATTACTTGTATCACAATCTTATCAAACTTGTTAAACTTATTTAATTGCATATATGTTTAAATAGTTAGGTATCTAGATTGTCACACATCATTAATTATCGTTAATTAAATAATTTTGGATGTATGTAACGTATTATGAATGACACATGATTACTGGTCAAATATAATAGAATGCAAAATTTAGAGATCAAGAATATTTTATCATACCCTAATACAATTAACATATATTTCAACTATAATAACATAATAAGACATTTATAATAATATTTTAATTTATTAATTTATTTATATATTTTTTTAAAATAACATTATCAAACTCATAATTGAAGAATATTCGAATTGGTTGGGACCCGGTCCACGGTTTGAAAGTCTGTTGCGGAAAAAAATCAAAAGAGAGAGAAAAAAACCGCGCGAATCTCTCTGATCTGTCATTTATGCATGACTTCTTCACCATCGCCTCCACCTCTATTGCTCTCCCATTTCTGATTATAAATATATAATTTAAAGTTTTTAATTTTAATGTTTTTTAAAAAAAGTGAAAGAATTAGTACTCGCAAATTAACTACATTTACCGCAAATTCAGCATTTCTTCAATTATCCTATTTTCTTGTCTAATCCCAGCCGCTCTTCCATCTCTCTATCTTCATTTCTATACTTTGGGTGTTGAAGTTCTGGTTCTCAAAATTCTAGGGTTAGGCTTTACTTTCTAGAGATGGGGCAGCAGACGTTGATCTACAGCTTCGTGGCTCGAGGCACGGTTATCCTCGCTGAATACACTGAGTTCACCGGTAACTTCACGACCATTGCCGGTCAATGTCTCCAGAAGCTCCCCACTACCAACAACAAGTTTACCTACAATTGCGATGGCCACACCTTCAATTACCTCGTTGAAAATGGATTCAGTAACAATCTTTATTTCCCTTCTCTTTTCTACATTCTTTTTTTTTCCCCGTTTATGTATTGGTTGCAATTTGCTTCGTGTTATCTGATTGGTTTTGACATTTTTTTCCTCTCAAATTGGTGTGATGGACGTATTCTCTCTCTCTTTTGGATTGATTATTTAATGATTCGAATATGAATATCGACATGTGTTCTTGTTATTGCCAATTTTTGGATTTGATCTTTATTTTGTTTTATGAAGTGTTTTTGTTGTTTTTCGTTTTTTACTTTTTGATTCTCCTTGACGATCTTTAAATGTTTATTCAAGGGCGGAACTCAAGAGGGCTAATGGGGACCATTGTCCCCCAAAATTTTAAAAATTCTAATTTATACTCTTAAAATTTTTAAATTTTTTAATTTGATCTCCTAAATTTTTAAAAATTCAGATTAAATTTTAGAATTTTATAATATTATTAATTAAATAACTATAATTTAAAAAATTCTCATTAAGCATCTTAAAATTTCAAAAGTTTTAGTTATACCTTAATTTTTAAAAAATATAAAATAAACCCTTCAAAAAAATTAAAAATTTAATTTAAACCTCTGATTTTTTTTAAAATTTTAAGTTGTCCCTCCAAACTCTATCACTAGTTCCGCCACTGTGTTGATTTCCTAGATTTTCAAGCATTTTATTTATAATTTGTGCATATTCGTTCACTATTTGCATTTTGCATCATAGTTTTAAATTACAGTTGCAACCCAATGTAATCTTTTAAGATCACGTCTACAATTTAAAAAGATAGTTATTTTTAAGTCTAACGTCCCCATCATCCACATTCTTAACATTGCAGTCGCATCTGAATCCGAAATTGCAATTGAATACAATTGGCTCATTTGCATCTTTTTATACATTGTTAGTTACGTGTTTTGTCATGTTCATCTTTTCCATCAATGGTCACACCTTCCAATCGTACCTCTTGATTAGGCATATCCAATTATCCAGGTCACTGTCTCATTTACAATTGCAGCTGCCTGCAGCAGTTTTTTCTTGCTTCATGCAAATACAAACTCGAGCATATTGATTTTAGTTTTAAACCTGCCGATTTTTGCAAAGAAAAAGGGAGATATCATTGATCTGGATGCTGACTTTTGGTTTCAATTTTTGAACGTAGAGTGAATCGGAAATTAATCAAGAAATGATTGCTTATTTTCATACTCGATTTGTGCTAATACATTTGGTGGTGCAGCCTACAGTGTGGTTGCAGTTGAATCTGCTGGCAGGCAAATTCCAATTGCATTTCTGGAAAGAGTTAAGGAAGACTTCAGCAGTAGATATGGTGGAGGGAAGGCTGCAAATGCTACTACCAAGAGCCTGAATAAGGAATTTAGGTATTCTTACTATCTTTATTCTCATACAAATTTCCTTTTTACTTATTGGTGGCATGCATGAATTGATCAAGAGGCGGCCCGGGTAGTCAGTTCCTAAAAATTTCAAATTATCGTACATTTTAGATATTTTCTTTTTATTTTCTATTGATAATTTGTTTTCATAAGTTTTCCCTCCTAAAATTTTAGAAATTTTCTAACATAAAATTATGTGTCCGTCTTTGGTTGCATACTTAGTTCTTTGTACATGATAGGTCCAAACTGAAGGAGCACATGAAGTATTGTATGGAACATCCTGAGGAAATTAGCAAACTTGCTAAAGTGAAGGCTCAAGTTTCTGAAGTCAAGGGTGTTATGATGGAAAATATTGAGAAGGTAATAACCTTCTGACTCTGCTGATGTTCTAGATGTAGTTTAATGTTAAAATATGGCAAAATGCATAGCAAGTTATCACAATTTGCAAGCGCTATAAAAATAGAATGATACTTTCAGAGATATTGCTTCTGCCATTTTTGTTTTCTTTCCTTTCTAAAATTCTTTTTTCAGGTCCTTGACCGTGGTGAGAAGATCGAGTTGCTGGTGGATAAAACTGAAAGCCTTCGCTCACAGGTTACTCCTATTCAAACTGCATTTCATGGGTTGCATTTTGGCAAAGCTGTTTCCTTTATCTAATGCAATAATGATAAAAAATTCCATAAAGTTTTGATTAAATAGTGACTTCAGTTCTTTTTCTTGAAACATTTTAATCCAACATTTCATTTTAGAATAAAAAGGTTAACATTTGATTAAATAGACACTTTAGTCCTTATTCTTTTTTTTGAACATTTTGACCATAAGTTCCATTTTAGGGAAAATGTCCCTTATTTTGAAACATTGACCATTTGTTTGACTAAAGGTTTCCATCTAAAGAGGGACCTTTTTGCTCTAAAATGAACTAGGATTATAATGCTCCAACAAAGGAATATAGATCAAATTAATTATTTAATCAAATGTTAGGGTATTTTTTTATAATTTATGTCTAATTTTTTTTTCTTGAATGGTTTCTTTAAACCATGCAGTGTATGATGCATTTAACTTGACATACCTAAAATGCACAAGATGATGCATGTCATTTGATCCTGAATTGTAGGCACAAGATTTTAGGCAGCAAGGAACAAAGATAAAAAGGAAGATGTGGTTAGAGAACATGAAGATGAAATTGATTGTTTTGGGCATAGTCTTTGTCTTGGTTCTTATCATTGTGCTGTCAATCTGCCCTGGCTTCAAATGTTAAAAATCTCTCCTACTGCTCTCACTGGGGTTGTTGTCTCCACTCTTGATAGATTGATCCATATTCATTCCTTCATTTATTTTAGTCCATCTCGGCCATCTGTATAGGATGTAGCTTCCCCTTCTTACTGTAGATACATTTCTTATCCATCATTTTCTTCTTTATGTTGTAAAGGAGAAATACTATTTGCCCCTTTGAAATATTATTAAACTAATGAGATGATCTTTGAATTTTGCATTTATCAAACCCAGTTTCCAAATCAAACTTAATTACAATTAATTCTAAAGAAATTACGTTTTGATTTAAAGTTCTAAACCATGGCTACAATGTAAACCACTAGTGACTTGTTTTGTCCTCTATCGTTTGGAACATAATATGCTGATGAAATTAGATCTCACCAACACAAGTCTAACTCATATGCCTAACATAAACAACAATAACCAAGGTAAATCCATTCATAGTATACCATTTTTTGTTAATGTTTTATTCTCAAAACGTAAGAAGTCACACATCTATAATGTTTTATCAAAGTTTCAGTAGAATTATTATTAAAAATATACTAAGTAAATATATTACTATAAAGTTAATAATAAATATAAAATTACTAAATTATCAAGGATTTACAAAAATTGACAATAGGAGATTTCATAGATGATAGTTTATTATGATAAGTTTGATTCATGAAAAAGATTAATATTGAAATAATAACTTTTTTTAATTGCAACTAGCATGAATTATTGATTGGAATAATTTCATGAACTACAAAACTTATTTAAATTATCAATTAATACAAAATTACATTATAAATAATATAATAAAATAACTTACAACTAGTTAAACTGTTAAATAATCAATAAACTTATATTTGCTTTCACTAGTTATGGGTTCCTTTGTTAACGGCCAGACTTTGTCCCAAAGGACTATTGACAAGTACCGGTGTATCAAATAATAAAAAGGGTTAAATACAAAAATATCACTTTTTGTGTTTTGTTCATTTTTTGTCACTGATTTTCAAAAAATATAAGATACAATCACTTTCGTTTTTATTTAATTAAGATATAGTGACTTTCGTTTTTATTTAATTAATATATATCATCTCGTGTTAAACTATTGTTAACAATTAACAGAACATGTAATGTGATAGTTGAAATAATCACACATTTGATCCATGTTATTTATATTTTCTCCTAATTTAATCATACTTTTAAATAAATTTTAACATAAAATATATATTTTAAATGAAAATAAAATATTTTTAAATTAAGTTAATAAAAAAATATATTTAATAAATTAATGTAAAAAATATTTTTTAAGTTAATATATATAAAATATTATGATTTTAAGTATTATCACTAATAAACAAAATATATATATCATGTTGTCCACTTTAGACCAAGTAATGGTCTTGGACTCTTTACTTAATGGTTTGATACATGTTTAGTTTCTAAGCGACCAAAGTTTATTTTTTTGTCCCAATTTGTTTTCCTTTTTTTCTTTAACTAGAGGGTGACACATGTCATTCTTTAATTGGTGGAAATAAATATATTAAATTAAAATAAAGTTAGTCCTCCAACCGAATAGTAACAGGTGTAATGACATGTGGCATCATTCGATTGGAGGATTAAATTTATTTTAATTTTTAAAAGTAAGACTAAATAGAAAGAATATGTAAAAAACAAAGACTAAATGCGTGATTGTCTCAAAATATTGAACTACTGATAACCGTAATTAACTCGAGATGACCACAACTTAACTAAATAAAAACGAAAATGACCATATCTTATGTTTTTTTAAATCAGTGACAAAAAATAAACAAAACACAAACATAAATAACCATCCGTATAGTTAACCCTAAAAAAATGTACATACAACCGCATGGTATCGTCTCGTACTCCGTCTGTTTCTAGAGTTTTTCAAAAGATTCCTCGTGGGCAAACGACTTCTTGATGAATTTCTTGATCGATTCCTCGTTGGTATATGATCTATTGGTGAATTTCTTGAACGATTCCTCGTTCGTATACGCCCTCTTGATGTATTCAGGTTCAATTTCCGGTGACTTGGGACAATCTTAGCGAAAATGATCCTTCAACTACCACCATAACATGCACATCATGCTCTTCTACACTGGATTATGTTCACAATCACAATTAATACAAATTGGAGCACCAAAAGCTCTAGTTGAGCCTCTTATACTAGCCATTGATGTAGCTTGTTGTTGGGGACCTTACAGGTTCCGATCTCATCCTCGAGAGTCTTTTGCTTGTTTGGAAGGTGACGATGAACAATGCGACCTCAGGATCTTATCGTACATTTGCTGCACTATATACTGAGCTCTTTCAATAGCTTTAACTCCATCAATAATCTCCTGATACAGAGAAAACGATAAGAAATATGTATCCAGTTTTTTTTAAGCGCCCGATCTTATGAAGGCACTCCCTGAAGAAAGTTACTGTCTCTAGCACACTCGCGATCGAGAAGCGGTTACTTAAGCTGGTAACATCCCGGTGGGAGTATAACAAAACCATGAAATCAACAAGCTAACTGATCTCTGAACAAAGAGATTTCTTCGAAGATAGGAAGCCTCCGTGATCTGTATGAAGTTCAGTGGCTCATCAACTTGTCAAGACCTACTAGAAACCATCTTCTGAATTCAACCCTATCGCAGTAGAAGCTATCGTTAAGGGCTGTCGTGACTCGAATTCCTTCAGCGACTCCTTTACACGGTCTCTTGATTTGAGATCGCCAAATCCCGGAAGTTTACCCTGTGTTACTTCCTCGAGAATGGATTCTGCTTCGACGTAACGTGCTTGCTTGAGCAGAGATACTGGCAGAGGTTGCAAGCCTTGTTCACATCGGGGTCGATTATCTGAGCTTTAAGATAAACTGCTTCTGCTGCTAAATAGTTTTCTTGCTGCATGTATGCCCAACCCAGGTTTCCCTGCATGAAACATTGATCAGAATCTTTTCCGAAAATCAATATTGTTAGATCAAAAGAAAAAGGAAAACAATGGCAAATTATTTGAGTACCAGTAGCCTAGACATCTCCTGCTTGATGGTAACTTGGAACTTCTTCCCATGGGAACGAGCCGTCTTGGTAGGCTTGCCATTGAAAGCCTAACCATGGTATATCAATCTAAGCTTCTGTTTCAATAGCTGTATCTGCTCCTCAATTCTTCCACATTTCTGCTAAATCTATTGCAGTTAGAATCAGAACCGTTTCTTACACTTCACATTCACACATAGTAGTTTCTATTGATAATCTAAAGTTCGTTTCCCTTTAAAATTTTATAAATTTGTCCCTTAATATAAAACCGTGCATCCGTTACTGAAGGTAAATAAAGTAATATGCAGGGTCCTTGTTGGAATTTGGATTACCTTAATACAAGTCAATGAGGACATTGTCAAGTGATTCTTGAGCATGCTTGGAACAGCGGTCCCTGAAAGACTTGATGGCTTCAATGGCCTCTTGGGCTCTATCCTGCTGTTTCATAACCACTGCGATGTCTTTCAGTGCACTGTCTATTCTGTCTCCTGAATTTATTTCCTTCCAAAACAATGCTATTGCTGCTTCTGGATCCTTATCTACTAGCTGTAATACATACAGAACACAGACACCCCCAAATTAACACCATTTTTCTTTAAAATAGTGCCAAATTAAGTAGCATGAATAAGCTCCGAGTATTATTTAAGACATAATGCAAAATTTAACCCTCAATGTTTATTAGAATAGTCACTTAACCTTTATTTTTCTAGAGTACTTTTACCTGTAAAGTTTTAATTTTTGATCAAAATAACTTATTTTAGATGAAATTGTCAGTTGACTAACTATTAACATATATTATTGATGTGATATTTTCACATGTGTTCCATTGCTGATATGGTACATACCATGTCATCACCTTAGTGACATAATAGTACATATCAAATCATCACTTTGGATTACATAACACATGTTATAACAGTTATATCAGCAATTTAACAAATATCACATCAATAATATATACAGGAACTGTAACACCCCCAACCCGTATCCGACCCGAATACGAGTCTGAGGTGTCACATTGACTTTTCAAACTTTGACTCTTGACAAAATTCAAGGAAAATTTAAAACTTTCATTAACATAAAAGCGGTTTATTTACGTGAAATGACCAAAACAACCAAAATCGATCAGAGCATTCATAACTGACACTTTTCTTACATGCCAACATACTATACACGACAAAATACATACTTTATCAGTTACTTCTGATCTGATCTTCTAGCAGTGTTGCTGTTCTTGCCACCCTATTTCTGCTCTTCTTGATTCTTGGTACCTACGTGTAAATCACTTACACGCTAAGTCACAGACTTAGTGAGGCATAACATAAATATATGTATACACATGTATAACAATGAATTTATGAACATGCATTCTTATCATTGATCAGGACATTTCAACTTTCATGTATCTATAACACTATAACATATATGATGATAACATGTACATATAACACATACATTCTCATGCTAATTTCACTTTAATTTATCTTTAGATTGCACATATACATTATTGAGAATAGAAGGTACGCTAGTACACTGAGGTTGTGCACAATGCTGTCACCACAGCTCGAATAAAATCCCACTAGGGGCACTGAATATTTGTCCCGAAGGACCACTATGTCCCGAGGGACCACTATGTCCCGAAGGACCCTTGATAATCCCTCGACTCTTGGCATGTCAATTATACATACAGCTCTCATATTTAATAACATGAGCTTAATTATAATTACATTTCTCATTTCACTTCTCTTTCATCACTGTCCATGTAAAAACATAAGCCACTTCATATGATCATTTCCATTATTTCACATACCTGGAAGGATTCTCTGATAATTGCATTCATTCATATAATATCGTGTATGAAAAATGCATGGAATCACTATAACGTTAACACATATATATGTATGCATGTGCATGAATAAGGAATCATAGATTCAATGATAAGAGATAGACTTATCGCAAGTCTTATCTCAATTCCATTTCATCTAAGATAAGCACTCACCTTAGCCTTGCTTTGACTTGATTCTAATCATTCG